TGAGATACCATGCCGCAGTGAAGCATGAATACCCCACTCAGACACATTATCATGATTATACTGACTCCGAGCCGACCAGTCCTTGTTGTACCCCTTAACGCCGAGCGCCAGACAGGGACCAACAAGTATCATATTTTAACGTCTTTTGGTATGACGCGGACGGACACTCTAACCACTACACCACGGACGCGGTCTGCACATATATAGACACAAAATGCATGTAAGTAGGTATCGTTATATTATGTTTTAATGACAGTGAGATTTCATACAACACCATTTGGTCAGGGAGGGAGTTCAGTTTTACTCCACCTTTAGCAATATTCCAGCAATATCATGGCAGGGGACATCAGAAATGGGCTTCACACATTGTACCAATGTGGGGAATCAAACCCAGGTCTTTGGGGTGACGTGCTAACGCTTTAACCGCTAGGCTACCCCACCATCCCGCAGTTGGTCAATCTGTTATACCTGATTGGACATACACACACACTATTTACCCTTTTACCACTGAGTATCCTGTCACACTACCTACTCTTTAACATGTTTAACCACTTATATACTTAAAGGCTTATCACAGAGTAATTATCCTATTATCACTGGGGTATCACCAAACAACATCTACCCTTCAACCCTGTGTGCTTATAATACAGTGTTTACACTTCTACCACTTACAAATCTGGCTATAATATGTAATTTTAGTTAATAAAATAAAGGATCAATGTGTACAAAGCTGCAGCATTGTTTCAAAAAGTGTACCTCCTTAAACCGGTAGGGCATCACTGTACACATCTACCTTTTCATGATTCTGACTTAAATGAGTGAGTTTAGTTTTACAGCACTTTTAGCAATATTCCAACAATATCACACCTGGGAACACCAGAAATAGGCTTCACACATTGTACCCATGTCGGGAATCAAACCCAGGTCTTCGCATGATGAGCAAACACTTTAACCACTAGGCTACCCCACCGCCCGGATGCTGAGTTAAACAGGGGTTACATGATGTATAACTGGGGCATTATTAAACAATATTTACCTTGTTATAGAACTAGGGCAGCACTCCCCAAAACACTAGGCTTATATAAGAGTTAGATAATGTACAACAGAGTCATTATTGTACAATTTTATCTTCTTGTAGCACTAGGGCAGCTCTATACAATGTTTATCTCCTCAAAACAATGGGCTTATACAAGAGTTACATCATGTACCACTGTGTCATTATCATATAATATTGACCTACTATTAGCACCAGGGCAGCTCTATACAATGTTTATCTCCTCAAAACACTGGGATTATACAAGAGTTACATCATGTACCACTGTGTCATTATTGTACAATATTGAGCTACTCTTAGCACTGAGGCAGCACTATACAATGTTTATCTCTCCACTGGGCTCATAGATAAGTTACATCATGTACCATACCACACTAGGTTACCTCATTACAACATGGTACACCAATGGGGAATTATTACCCAATATTACCCCTCTTGCAGTGTAAATAACAACAAAATGGTTGGATGTGGCTAAATGATGTACACAAATCTCAACTAACAAATCCAGATATCCCTAGACATTGGTCACTGTTATGGGATCCAAATGGATTTATTATATAATTAGTATGCATATTTTTTAAAATAAGAAAACCTTCTAGGACCAGAACAGACCATAAAGCATGTGGTAAAGCCAATAAAGCCTCAATATACATGTCTCTAACAATGTTGATAACACTGTTTAGCCAACCACACACCAAGCCTATCCATCAACTTCCACATACAGAAAACACTCCCATTCTTAATTGACACAACATTGACCCCTTCATTAGACTGCTTTATGAATGACTGGTAGCTTCCAAATAAGGAAGTTTACACTTCAAGCGGCTGCCTAATTACATGTTTATTGCCAGTGGGTTGCCTATCACTGGAAGGTTGCATATCATTATGTATGTACTACACACTGCCATTAGCTTGATTAGCAAGCAGGTGATAACAGACAATATATCCTTCACAGCCATGAATATATCCTTACACAGGCCCCAGGACAGGTACTATCCTTGCAGAGATATGACAATTGATGATTCACATGTCAGGTCTTACTTTTTATCTATTACTGTACACTGGACAATAATTGTCCCCCATTTAATAGAACATAATATGTTAACATTACTGATTATGCTCATCATACCACCTTAAACTAACTCCACATTCAAATTATTTTAATTTTTTCACAGTTTTAAAAATAAAAAAATGAATTAATACAAAATATTACATAAAGGAAATATGCACACCTAACCATCGTGCAAGCCATTAACATGGTTTAATGTTAACTTACAATTATTCCTGCAATAACACTGCAGGGTACACCAAAAATGGGCTTAAATGTGGGGAATCAAACCTTTGATTTCAATATGGCAAGTACACCTTACCTTCATGGCCACCCTACTCAGCATGACTAAAACAGGTCTGTATTTACTATTTTAAAATGAAACGACCATCTGTCAATAAGTCCCTGACAATAGGACACTCACCTTTAAGAAACTTAACCAAATGATTATTATTGTTTATTTTGTTAGTTTACATATTTTATTTTTACAACCTACTTCTTTGAAATAGCACAATTGCAAATGACTATCTGTCAAATGTTGGGTTACAGTCTCAATAAAATGTCACACAATATTGTAGGAAAGTAGTTTAAAAATTACTATTCAGTTTGTTTTGTTAATTCTTTTTTAGGTAATTTACATATTTACTCATACTACCTAGTAACTGGCAACATCACTATTGCATTATGGCAACTATCTATCAAATGTCAGGGAGCTTTATTATGAGGTCCCAATAAATGTCACTGATGTGTGACAGTTGTAGGAAAGTAGTTTAACCTGTCATAAACTCGACAAACATGTACATAAAGTATCCTTCATGACACAGTTCAGACAATTCTGGGCACGTCTCTTGCCATATGACCTACTTCACCTCTTTGCCTACTGGAAATGTATTCTTGTTCACATACAGGATTATCTACTGACTCGGTAATAATCTGATCAGTAAACTCAGCACCCTCTAGCTTCTTTTCCTTAATAGGCTTAGCAGGTTAAAAGCCAGTCTAAGTAAATATATATATATTGTTGATAACCCCAAATGAATCTTTCTTAAAAACAATTCACTCATGACTATGACAGAGGAACAGAAAAGCTGCGTATCTGCGTAAATTACGCAAATATTCATGTGAAAACTCAATTCCTATTACATCTATTGCGTACATGTACGCTTGATTTTTTTGTAAATACTCAATATATTTGATCTTACATGCGTACACACAAAAATGTTAAGGTATATTGAGAGGTTCTATTTCAGCACATGAACTCGGCAACTTGCAGTCTTTCTTATCGTTTCTCATATTACTGATCAAATATAAACAACAAACACTTAAACCAACATTTAAACTATGTTATATTTTTACAATTAATGTAAAATGACAAAACACCCAACTGAGTTTGAGTGAGTCGGGTACAATTTATTTGGTTACTCAAAGAAAAATTAGTATACCCAATTGAGATGAACACAAGCTCGTACATAACTCAATGACCCGAAAAGTTATCTGTAGCTCTGCTATGACATAAATGAGTGAGATAGAATTTTACACCACATCAGCAATATTTTGGACATATCATGAACTATGATATAAATACATCTGCAGGGTCATTCAATGAATATACATTTTTCGTATTAAGAATATTTCAAATTTTAAATTGTTTTTTTAATGATTCATGTCTGACCTTTATGGCTTTTCAATTAACAGCATGGTTTTCATCAATGTGATTCACAGTGACAAGGGACGTCATGATTCATTTTTAATTTGGACAGTGAAAAGACAAGCTATGACATATAAACAGCATGGCTGCCAGCGTGTGTTGTTTCAGATACAGATGGATTGGTTCTAAATTAAATAGGGCAGACAAAAAGCTCTGCAACCTCAAGTCTGATTATTCACAATTCAGTGGGGATGCATACACTGCCTTATAAGATCATTATACCAAAATTTACCAATTGAAAGAAATATCATTCATATATGTTTTTTCTCAAACTAAAATAGCATTTGAGCCTATAGTTCTATTGATACCTATCTACATCAAAAGGTCGAGGATATTATCACATCTATTAGATGACAATTCACCAACTGCCTTTTATGGCAATAATATTTACTCATAGCAAGGTATTTCGCAAGAACATCACAGTATCACACATGCAATTTGCATCAATCCTGTCAAGCTTAGCCATCTAATTCCAACCAGATGAATTTTTAAACATTTCACACCTATAGAATAAACTCTCAATTAAACAATTAGAAAGAGACATTTAGCATGATCATTCATGTAACAACGGTTATACATTTTGTATCAACTGCTACACAGTAGCTATATGAACAACATGCCAGTGATGTGGAAGCCATGTTATAACCTATATATAACCCTAGGTAAATATTCTCGTTTACAGGGTGCCATATTGTACTGACTGCACGTGTAACTTGTGTTTTATTACGTGTGTATTGCCACGAAAAATTCACTTCCGGTCTTCTGAGAAGGTCCCTCGCGCCCCTCAAGAGACCTGGGCAGTTCTGTCAATGCGGTGTAGCGGTGGGAATACACTGACAGCCTATATTTTACAATAAATTCCACAAAACTCAAAACTAACACCGCCAATTTCCAGGTACATCCACCATTACACTGTCACATTCCCGCACACGAGGCAAATTTCTTTTCAAACAGCAACAAATGTTTTCAATCAACAATGTGCATAATTTTTGAATGGGGGCAAAGGGTGTGTCTTGATGACATGCGACCACACGCCTTTAAACTTACAGCAACAGTGTAATACCTTATGCCGACTTCATTGTTTCAACGTGTACATAAAAGGACCTCTATGCGGGCCACTATCGGTTAATTAACTCGAAATATCTCTGCAGAAGTGCGCGTACGCATGTGCGACTGACTATACACTGTACCTTGTCTAAGCATTTCAGCTCTTCTGTCGGATACACCGTCTTCGAGCACTTTCCACACTTCTTGCTCATCTTGGTATTTTATCCAGAGATATCCACAATTCGAATTGAGGTATTCCCAACCCAGCTAACGAAAAGTCGGCTTGAAGCTTCGAGATATGCGGTATACACAACAACTCCAATGGTTTCGTCAAGTGCACGGTAGAACTGGCGGTCGACACCGTAGAAAGCGGGTCGTGTGCAAACCATGGCTACTACCGTACCGGCCCTATTAAATTTCACCGCTGCATGTCAAATTTGGCTTCATGCTCTCTCTACTTGGAATGGGTCTCCAACGTTTCTCACATTACACACATATTTTAAATTCTTGCTAATCACGATCTACTAGACTTTAATGCAATAATTGAATATATCTTTCATGTTATATGGGACGTTTGAAACGCTCTGAATGAGGCGTTAATCATATAAACTGAGACAAATATGTATCCGAGTGTTTCACCGAGTGGTATTGGGGATGAACTATATGGCATTTCATCAGTTATTTTTAGAAACATTACTGCTATTTCTCAATGAAAGCTGTGTATGTTTTCGGTATAAAATCACATTTTACTAACATTTGGTTATTGTGCGTTTAATGTTGACTAGTTCAGACAGCATTTGTATACACGCGTCGTCTCTTCCCACACCCGTAAACAGATATTAGAGGTGAGGTTTATCAGGGTTTCACTGCAAGATAACCCCCCTCACCAAAAAGCAACATAATCGACAACGGGTCCGTTTCACCACAATTTGTGAATCCCATTTTGGGTGTCCCCGCCATGATATTGCTGGAATGTTACCAAAAGCAGCTTTAAACCATATATACTCTCTCATTCCAGAAGTAAACGTTTTTAATTGTGGTGCATTAAAACCTCGTTTAAGCCAACAAAGTCAACTTACTTAACACTCATAATAATAACTGAACAAGTTCCCCCAAAATGACGCCCCGCTTATCTCGAATACGATCATATAACGCGGTGGCTCTGAGAGAGATCTGCAAGTAAAACAGTTTTCCTCAATAAAGAGAATGTAGATTTCCCATCTCCCGCCCTGAATATTTATTCCGAAAAGAAACAACACAACGTTTTCCTATCACCAAGTCATCTTCATGAAATATGTTTCACAATAAATGAAAATCATTTTTTAAATACGTTTTAGTTGTACTCTTGCTTATCACATAATTATCACCACCATATGCATCTTAAATCTAATGATATGTCAGCTGATTCAGCAAGTTTTCAGAGGGGCGGATACAGATTTTTTTGAAAGGGGAAACTTTCAGGACAAAAGGGATGTGTGGTCCAGACTCGATTGTTTATAGGCTGACGTCATATTCATCTATAATATTGGATAGAACAGCAGACCTTTGCAATGAAAAAGACCCTTATTTTTATAGACATTTAGCAATGACTTCATACATGCTATATGCTTGGATGGCAAAATATACTCATGCCAATAATGGTTGTCACCCCCCTCCCCACCCCAACCCCACACACGCCTCACACCCACTCTCCTATTAAAATAATTGAAGGGGGTGACAACCATTATTGGCATGAGTATATATGAGCTGTCATGAAGCTTGTGGTATTCAGTCAGCGTGGCGAGGACATGTTTTGTTGCCATTGTGCACTCGAAGAATATCAATGCCACGCGCATACTCAATTTATTCACATGCATGCGGCGTTGGATTCGCGCACAACAGTCTCTGACACGTGCAGGTATATTTCTCTCGCCATGAATCAGCATATATACATACAAGCAGGTATCGACCTAGACTAACATTTCTCTGAAATGAACATATTTTACAGGGAAAAAACAGTTCATAATAAAATATAATAAATTAAAAAATACCTTATCATGATGCTGACTTATTTGAGTGAATGAGTGAATGAGTTTAGTTTTACGCCGCTTTTAGCAATAATCCAGCAGTATCACGATGAGTGACACCCAGAAATGGGCTTCATGCATTGCACCAGAGGGAATCGAACCCGGGTTTTCGGCGTGACCGTCGAGCGAACGATTTAACCACTAGGCTACCCCACCGCTCCTATTAACGGGATTGGGTGGTTAGGCTCGCTAAAACTGATGTCATCGTTTACCGATTGATGCTCATGATATCTGTCACTGGACTGTCCTGCCCAGACTCGAGTGTTAACAGATCGACGTATTTCACTGGAATAGTACCAATTGCGGCGTTAAACCACAAACACGAGCTTGGTGAGTGGGTTGCCATTGTTTCTAATTTTGAATTGTTCCATATGACGTAGTCCCAATTTTAGCAATTCAATGCCTTTCCTCATTATTATTTAACTACATTATTGCATGTTGCAGTTAAAAATTGAGTTCCCCAATTAGTTGTGTCGATTACTTTGTCCTTTATAACATAATTCCGCTTCGTTCAGATAGTGTAGATTTACCACAAGCAGCACGACATCCTTTTCTTGATCTCCTTCTTGTCGCCTGACATGGACGCTGTTGTTCCAAGTTTTGTTTTTGATATCTATGAAGTCGGTTATACTCTATTTTATTTGCATATGGGTAATGGCGTAGCCTAATGGTTAAAACGCCCGCTCGTCATGGGTACAATGTGAGAAGCCCATTGCTGGTTATGCATATGTTGATCTACAGGGTAAGATACAACAGAGTTTTCGCTTTGATGATTCCAATATTATGTGCAGAGACGGAATGTGTTGGAATATTTCAATGGTGTCTGTTACTGTGATAGTCGAGGGTTTAAGCCCTGCACAGGGAACACTGGTGTGTAAATATTCGCCCCCTCGGAAGAGCATTTCCGTCATATCATGGCAAGTCTTGAAGCAGAAGGAAACTCACATTGAAGCAGGTTTCAATTCCATCACATTAGGATCTTTTAAGCTGATTCCTTACCTCTCTGCGTGAAGGTCTGTGCCGAGATCGTGTCAAAGCTTTGACCACCAGACCTGAATGAGGAACCTGTAGTTTTAGCCAATCAGTTTTTTAAAACGATTCTGTTTTTTTTCACCACCTCAATTCGGAAATTTCTATCTTTCGTGCGTGTATTCCTTGAAATTTCCGAATGACCACAGAACAAACATATATCCTTCGATGGTACTTCGCCTTTGGTGCAGATGTTATGGTGGTTGGAAACGTCAAATTGGTGAACACATCGTAAACGATATAAAACCAGCAGTTCCGAAAGTAAAAGATTACGTTTTCACCCAAAGACTTACAAACCTCCACGATAATTGCCGACACAAACCTCCCATGGAGTTGTCGCGGGACCTTCACAGAGAAAGGTATCCTATCTTATAAAAGATCTGGGCCCCGTTCCTCAAAGCGATCGTAGCGCTACGACAGTTCTAAGTCTATGTTAAGTATGGGAGTTATCGCTACGATATTCAAAAGCCGATGATAAACTATAGGGTTAATTATTACGACAGGTCGTAACGTTACGAACGCTTTGTGGATCGGGCCTGTTCCATAATGCAATCTTCCCCTTAAAACGATCCCATACTTAACACTGACATAGTGCTAAGATATTTTGAGAAACGGGACCCTGATTGTATTAAGAATTTGAAGGTCTTAAACCCACGCTCATTCGTTCCTTGCCCGCTCAAGAAGCGCAACTCTGTATTTCGAATTAGAAGACCAGGCCGTCGGTGCTTGAGGAGACGTACAAGTTTATAAAGCCGTCAAAGACAGTATGCTGCCAGACCGGCATCTGTCCGCTGCACCTCCTTTCATTATTCATTCTATACTTAGCAGCGAGAGAAGATCTGAATGGAATAACAATGATATTTTTAACTGGCTAAAATGCAATTAAGGACGGAATGTGTACTGGTTAAGGTTGTACTGCTTAACATTGCAATGGTATGTCAATATATATTGATGACTTGTAATGGCCACGTGGATGAGTGCGATCGTTGAAGCCCTCTTCTTTTGAATCCCCACCCACACGGAAAACCATATGAAATGTCATCATACAGAAAAAAACACACTGAAAGCAGTCGATTTTTTAGGTCAGGTGACGTAATGTCAAAACTTTGTTGTGCTGGTTTTTTTCATCAGTGGAGTGAGTGAGTCAAGTCACACCGGCAGTATATCAGCCATATCGTGACCCATCAATGGATTCACTGTGGCGGTATATAATACGGCTTCATTTGACTAATCATGCAGCATCGGGAATCGCTGAAATACACTCTTGCACATGTTTTTATGATGACGTCAAAAGTTACGATTGTTCAGCACTTTGTTGTCACTGGTTAAGTCATTAAGGCACAACAGAAACTTACGATCATGGGTTCGAATCCCGGCTCGTCCCGATTATGTTTTTGAGTTGGTCAGCACCAAATCTGAGCACGTGCGTTGTGCCCCTTAGGTTCTGCACTCATGCTCTCAGACTCACAGACCATAATATGAGTTCTGTACAATGTGTAACTCAGCCACTTACACAGTTCGCCATACACCCATGAAGGTCCGGGTTAGAATGAACCTTCAGTAACCCATGCTTGTCGTAAGAGGCGACTAACGGGATCGGGTGGTCAGGCTTACTGGCTTGGTTGACATATGTCATCGGTTCCCAATTGCGTAGATCGATGCTCATGCTGTTGATCACTGGATTGTCTGGTCCAGACTCGATTATTTACAGACCGCCGCCATATAGCTGGAATATTGCCGAGTGCGGCGTAAAACTATACTCACCCACTCACTCAGTTCGCAATACGGCTGAAATAGTGATGCGACGTAAAATCCTAATAACTCAAAGTAACACCGAATGAAAACGGGGCGGTGGGGTAGCCTAGTGGTTAAAGCGTTCGCTCGTCACTCCGAAGACCCGTGTTCGGGACCCCACGTGGGTACAATGTGTCAAGCCCATTTCTGGCATCCCCCGCAGTGATATTGTTGGAATATTGTTGAAAGCGGCGCAAAACTAAACTCACTCACGCCCTCAATCACCCTCATACACATCATTCATAACTTCCTGAATGTTGTTTCTGGAATAATGGTCATGGGTTTTGCCAAGCACCTGCATCACATTGGGCTTTCCTTCAACATCAGGCTGACTCACCAACTCAATCTAAATGTTCACAAAATCCGTGAAGATCCGGGTTAGAATTGGTCTTCAGCAACCTGTGCTTGTCGTAAGAGGCGACTGACGGGTGGTCAGGCTCACTGACTTGGTTGTCATCGTTTCCCAATAGCGTAGATCGGTGTTCATGATGTCCAGACTCAATTAATTACAGATCGCCGCGATACAGCTGGAATATTGCTGAATGAGGCGATAGACAAACAAACAAACAAACAAATGGATGTTCACAACGTATGACATAGTAATATACAATATTATATAGGGTCAAACAATTTTAAAGCGTTCGCTCGTGACATGGAAAGCAAAGGTTCGATTTCCCGCATCAGTACACAGTATAATTGTTTTGATATTTCTTAAATAGTGTAAACTTACTCTTTCACTCATCAATGTATAGCTATGAAAGAATATATACAGTTTTCAGCTAAAGTAAAATTAAATAAAATGTAAATAATTTGTGTGAATATCATTAATTCTTGAAAGAATTCTTGTCTTTAACAATATTTACAATAGCACTTGTGTAAGTCTTATTCTGCCAAAATAGATATTTGACGCTTTTGTTCAGGTTCTTCATACCCTTGTTATACTATTTTGCTGGGTACAATGTGTGATGCCCATTTCTGGTGTCCCCCGCCGTTATGTTGCTGGCATATTGCTAAAAGCGGTGTAAAACTAAACTCACTCACTCACTATAGTCTTTTCGTGAAAGTATGTCAAAGTATGGTTATAACATTAATGATAGGTAATGTCTCCATTGTACATAGTTTATAGACTGTGGTTTCACTTTTGTTAGTGTTGTTTAGTTCAAATATCTGCATATGTATCGATTTTGATATAAAAGGCCTTCTGTTAGTTTAAATTATGTGTCGTAGATTACCTCAAAATTTAAAATATATGTGGTTAGATTCCGAACAATGTTCTTCATCAGTTTACACAGAACACTCGTCGGAGCATTTGATGATAACTTCCATTCACGGTTACAGCGCATGTACTTGGCTTTGCATAATATATTTCTCAATTGTGCGCATAGTATTTTCCAATCTTATTCTGCCAAGTATGTGAAACCACTTTGAAACTTTATATAATATTTGTTAAAACATAATTATTAAATCACTTCTTACGTTAATGCATAGGTGTGTGTTGTAATCGTTACAAAACCATGATGAATATTCTTTAAAGGATGACTTCAATAGACTAGTACACACACAAGTGGAGGGTGTATGTGGGCGGGTAACTCAATTCAGCAGTTTGTCTCGAAAGAGTTGTCTCCCTTGTCGAATGAAAGCTCTTGTGTCAACTCCCAGACACAAATTTAGCGGAATGATGAAGGCGCGTGTTTACGTTTTGTTTGGAAACAGCTAGAATGCACATAAATCTGAAAACAATAATGCAAATAGTTCATGAAACTGTCTCGTTTTTTGTCAGACCCAAACTTGTCAACTAATTCATATTTGTGTCACCAAATAAGTATGTATTAGCAGGGGCGGATACAGCTTTTTGAGAAAGGGGGTGTGTGGGGTGTGTGTGTGCACACTATTGAGAAAAGGAGGGGTGCACACTTCATTTTTACCCGAGTTTCAATGGTCATTTAACAAACTTTCAGCACAAAAGGCTGGGTGCGCACCCCTGCACCCCCCCTCTGGATCCGCCTATGATTAGTATGACCCCTGGATCCGCGTTCGAAACTACCGAGAGTCACACGTGTGATACAAGCCAACTACAAACAAGCTGTGTTATAACATATACTGGGTCAGGGAAGATCCGGGTTGAAACTGATCTGCAGCAATCATTGCGTGTCGTAAGACTGACTGACTGACTGAGTTTGGTTTTACACCGCTTTTAGCAATATTCCAGCAGCATCACGGCGGGGGACACCAGAAATGGGCTTCACTCATTTTACCCATGTGGGGATTCGAACCCGGGTCTTCGGCGTGACGAGTGTCGTAAGACGCGACTGACGGGATCGGGTGGTCAGGTTGACTTAGATGGTTCATGTCATCGTATTCCGATCGCGTAGATCAATGCTTGGATAGTTTGATCGGCATTCTAGAAGTTGGAGGGTAAAAAAAGAAGCATACAAGTTTATGGATGGCAACGCCTTGTTGACTTAAAGAATCCACATCAAAACGTCGCTCTGTGCTGACTGACTGACTGAGTTTGGTTTTACGCCGCTTTTAGCAATATTCCAGCAACATAACGGCGGGGGACACCAGAAATGGGCTTCACACATTGTACCCATGTGGGGATTCGAACCCGGGTCTTCGGCGTGACGAGCCAACGCTTTAACCACTAGGCTACCCCACCGCCCCTGCTATAAACAAGAAGCTGTCATACATAAAGTTGTACGCTTCATTTTCTGAGTATAACAGCTATAATTTCGTTGATTACGCTGATCACAGACAAACCACGTATGCTGGCTGTAGGAGTTAACTTTGTGGATCAGGTGGTCAGACTCGATGATTTGTTTGGTTACCTGTCGTCGTATACCAAAGAGTGGATTGTTGCCCAGGGTATCACTCACTGGATTGTCTGGTTCAGACACGATAGGGGCGGTGGGGTAGTCTAATGGTTAAAGTGTTCACTCTTCATGTGGAAGGCCCGGGTTCGATTCCCCACACGGGTACAGTGAGCGAAACCCGTGTTTCCCGATATTGCTAGAAGCTGCGTAAAACAATACTCACTCACACACACGATGTCAGGTGGTCGTCGTAAAGGAGGAAAAGTGTTAATTAGTGCGGTGTGGAACAAATTCTTGAAAGGACTTCACATATTGTATCTTTGTATAATAATTTCGTCTGGCGTCACGGGGGAACGATTTTCCCCACTGGACATAGAGAGGGGCGGTCGATGGTTAGATTCACGGCTGCGTAACACCTCATCTCACCAAAACCCTTTTCACCTTACCTCACCAAACTCCATTTCATCTCACATTACCAAACCCCTTTTCACCTTACCTCACCAAACTCCATTTCATCTCACATTACCAAACCCCTATTCACCTACCTCACCAAACTCCATTTCATCTCACATTACCAAACCCCAATTCACCTTACCTCATCAAACTCCATTTAATCTTACCTAATCAAACCTCATTTCATCCCACCTCACCAAACCCCTTTAATCTTCCAAGAATAATTATTCAAAGATGATACGGTTGGTTTAAATATATTATATAAAATATTATTTTAATTATATTAATGTGTCTTTAAAATTACACACATTGCTGACCTAAATTGTATATTGTAACAGCGTAAGATTTCTAGGCTGATATTGGTTTCACCAGGGAGAATAGAAGACGTAGATTATCCCTGGTTTCACTATGTCTCAGGAGTGACATGTCGCGCGGAATCTTTCGCGGGATGGCTAAACGATTTTAATTATTTATAGGAGATAATGAATACAGTTGTTTTTTTCTTGTTTTTTTCAGTCTTGATAATGTCATTCGCCATGTGTTCCTAAAATCACAGGCTGAGAGGCTTGTGAGAAAGATTCCCTCGATAATCCATTTACAAGAATGGATAAAAGAGGGTAAGTGTTTACTTCCGTTACATGCGCAGTACTTGCTTCCTCTTACACCAACATGTCGAAGAGAGGTGAGGAAATGAAAACACTCGCTTCAAAATCCATCGTAAATCGCCATAAATCGGGAATATCCATCCCTTCAACTTATGTTTTCGAATAAAACAAACATCATGTTAATGAATTAGACTTGTATCTAACAGTAGTTAGGGAGCGATCACCTAATATACCTGTTAATATTACCCGACTTGCGGCATGAAGACCTGTACCGGTCAAGGATGAAAACAAAATTCACCTTCACTGATAGACAGCATGCATTTGTTCCTATGTGTAGCACACAAATGCTTTTCAAGAGAGTCACCTTGGTAAAGGAAGATTAAGGCCGATAATACACATTTGCTTTCAATTGGCCAACTCGTGTAGGCAGCATGCTAAGGCAAGAGTCCGTTGTACTAACTTGTTCATTCTGTTATTATAGAACCCACTAAGTACGATTTAGATGTGAGGTGAGGTTAACGTCGTGCTTGAGAATATTTCGCTCATATGACGACGAGCATGCGTGTGTATGTGCGGCTGCTTGTACTAACCCAGACTTAAGCTGGTTTTATAGTGCTAGCCCACTGAGATACCATGCCACACAGCTGAAGCCCATCGAATGACTCATATTCATACCTTGAAATTTGCATTTTGAAGATTTGATAATTTACATCAAATGTTTGAATGCTTGTTGATCGATATGGCTGTGTACATGAAATAGATCATATGAATTTGTTCTTGGATCGATATGGCTGTGTACATAGAAATAGATCATATGAATTTGTTCTTGAAACAATAATTACTTTTGTAAATAGTACACTGAATTGGTATTGAACCTAATTAGCAAATAGATCCCACTCTTTTGATCAAAGGTACATGCACTTAGTGCTGGGTTGTGCCCCCATAGTGTATGATCATTGGTCTTTCAGTACTACACCTGGTTCTACAAATTTCCACTATGATCAAAATCTTTGATCTGTCCCACATCTAACTGAAGGTGAAGAAGGTGGTCCATATCCAACCCAATATTAGTATTGTTGTTGCATCCCAATGCTACTCTGCCATTTGTTGATAATGTCATGTATATTGATGGTATTTGACAGTGTGTAATAACGTAATAATATGTTTCAGGTAGAGGAGGTTCCTCCGGGGGGAAGTTCCGAATCTCCCTCGGTCTGCCCGTTGGGGCAGTCATCAACTGTGCTGACAACACAGGTGAAAATTGATTTTGTGCTTCACTTTGAAAATGTCAAACTTAATTTATTTGTGTAGGACTCCACTTCTCATGTTCGAGTGGAATGATAGATGTATTACACTTAGCTATCAGCTAAGTAACTTGCTTGCCTAGTATATTTGTGTTTGAAATTATGAACAAATATGCTTTGGGCGAGTGCATCATATTGGATTGTGCCGCCGTGATGTTGCTGGAATATTGCTAAAACCAAACTCAGTCAGCCATGCAATACAAATTAACTAAGGACCTGATACAATGAGACATGGAAAAGACAAATTTTAAACAAATGTGTTATTCCTTGAGTTTGAAAAGTATTTAGTTTGGATTTCTCCCAATACTATTTAGAAAGGCTAAACTAAATATTGTTTTGATCCATCTGAATGTTTTGACAGGCGCCAAGAACTTGTATGTTATTGCTGTCCATGGCATCAAGGGACGTTTGAACAGGTTGCCAGCTGCTGGCTCTGGAGACATGTTTGTTGCAACTGTCAAAAAGGGAAAACCGGAGTTGAGGAAGAAAGGTGTGTTTTGTTTGTCTTGAAGTATTAAATGACAAATTGATGCAAGAAAATAAGATACATTTTGCATCTTTTGTATGTCTTTCACTTGTATAACATTCAGTGATACAGTGCTATTGTGGTGTTCTGGTAATATCACATGTCTTCAGTCTTATGATGTTCAGTGTAAACTTCAAAATTCATAATGTGACATTACGCTGATGTGTGAGATGGTGATTTATTGCTCATGCTTTTGTTCACTGGCTTGCCTGGACCAGAGTTATGTACAGACCCCTGTACTGTGGCTTGAAATTGCTGATTTAGCATTATGTAGTATTCACTTCTCTGACCCTCTTAAGTGCTGAATGTTTTACATTATCTTGTGGAATTAAACTCTAAGTATACTATGTATGTGGAGACACATCCAAGCAATAATGAAAAATAACACAAGACAACACAGATCATTGTTGTTAAGCCATTCAACACCGTAGGCCAGAAAACCAGCCAAGACGTCCCCAGTCTCCAGGCCGTAGTCACATCAAAGTGATACATAATTTTAGGAACCTAACTTACTTATGATTCTTTTATCAAATCTATCACTTTTCACAATGTCTGAAAAAACTTATTAAATTTCAAATGACCATATATTATCGACAGGATTAGAATTATATACTATTTTTGCAATGTTATTGAAAAAAACATTCTCGGACACATGCTTCGGCAACGGGTCCACAGCAAAGTTGTCAAAGAGCAGGGTAACAATGTTTCGAGGAAATAATTAAACAAACTGAATAAACCGAAGCATAAAATCAACAGCAGTACTCATAAAAGTTGTAAAACGTACATTATAACTTAATATTTCCATCTTTTTGAGTGATCATGTAATGTAATTCAAGTGACATCTCGGCTTTCGTCGCCTCTAACTTTAACGCTCGGACACGATGTTTAATGCTAAAATATATGCATGAAGCATTTTTGTCACAGGTCATAACCTAGCACGATACGTCCACTAAGTTCCATAATATAAGTATAGGTGATGATTTATTGCGTAACACGTTCAGAATAGTGTGATTTTGCCCAAAACTTTTGTCTGAATCATTATTTTTCATTTACGAGGACGGTATCCATTGCTGTAATATGATTAGCTGCCTTAGGTCATGTGTACGATTTTGACCAATCACGATCTTTATAGCAGACCGTAGCGAAAAAGCGTCATTAGAAACCAATCTTTATCCAATAAAATCACTTCTTACAACTGTGAAAATACTTATGGCAAGGGTACAGTGATATTGTTGATGTTCAGAGCTTTCGAATGATACCTGCCATTAAACGAATCGCCTCATGTTATTCATATGCAGCTTCGAAAACCGAGGCATTTCCCGCTGTTGTATCTCGTAACGGAGCAGAAAGCCACTGATATCGGGAAATTGACGACCATACATATTATTTGAGAAATCTTTTTAAAAATAATTTTCTGATTGCGTAAAAATGAAAATATAGAAGAAAAAGGTACGGGGATATTATGACATGTCACAAAAGGAAAAAAATCGCTGCATTTTTTGCTTCCTTTGTGGTTTATCTGGACATTATAAATGTTTAAGCTTGCATTTTCTTTAAGAATTAACTTATTGAAGTTGTAGTTGGATTATTTGAATAATATGATCAAAATAAATTTCATATTTATAAACAGTAGGATTAGACCTTTCAAATGGTGAATGATATGTAGTAGCAATAATGTTTTACAAGCTGATATTTTCCTTGATAAACATAGGCTCCATCTGTGACCTCAGAGTCTCTTGGAACTTGGTGACATGACAGTAAAAGCCTCTGGTTGACTTGTGTTGAAAGAGTTAAAGTGCTTTTGTTTTGATTGTACTTTTTGTCCATGTATCAGCTAGATCATGTTGACATTTTCTTCATTGTGTTTAACCATTTTGAGTCTGCATGATCTGGTTCAAAAGCTTTGCTCCTGTTTATTTTGTTTTCTGAAGAAGTAATTTTGATGGGTTTTTTTCAGTTATGCCAGCAGTGGTCATCCGGCAACGAAAACCATTCCGAAGGAAGGATGGTGTCTTTATATACTTTGAAGACAATGCAGGAGTTATTGTCAACCCAAAGGGTGAAATGAAAGGTAACGAAATTGATCCTTTTTAAGACACTTACAGAAATATCTATTGACACATTTCTGTCTTATCAATATAGTAATATCAAAGTCCCCTTGTGTACTTAACATGTGTTTTGTGAATTTCGTAAGTGTGGAACCAAACAAAGTTTGATTATATAACACTGTGAAGTCCCTTTGGGGATAGCTGAGGTTACTATGAGCTTCCTAAACTAGTCTGGGGATGGGGTTATTAGATACTGTTATTCTCTAAGGATGTTCTTCACATTTCAGTAACTGGTTTGCCTGGTCCAGATAGATTATTTATATGTGGCTGTATGTTACTGGCTCCAAGCATTATCATTCACACACTTAGGGACTTCTTTTACATCAGTCAACATTAACATTAAAGCTTAATTGAATCCCTTTGTCTTCATCAGTAGGGCTGGATATTGTCCTGATTTTCATATTGCGATATATTGCAATAATTTAAGAGATATTGCAATACATATTGTGATATATTGACCGGAAGGTTTCTGGCCAAGTGTGTACATTATAATTTCATAAAAGCTCTCTGTGTGCGACATCATCTTCTCAGTTGCTGTTACACCATACTTTCAGGCTCCCTGTCCCCATTGTGTATGGTTGTTTGCCAATCCCTTACAAATAAATAAAATGATATAGAGCCTTAACGTGGAATGTTTGATTGAAGTATTGCAACAAAGTTTTGCGAACATAATGATAAAGGTAATAGTATAACATGATTTTCATGGTCAGTGTGGTTTGCTTCAACAGAATGCAGTATGCAGTTATTGTTTCTGTATGTCAGTGATTCATTCAGATTCTCAGATTCAACTCCAATATAACATGTGTTTACATGAACTATTGCAAAATGAAACCTAAACATGACTTAGGTGAACTACGTGAACTTAAAATCGCATGTGACCTCCAATAACTAACATCATTGACAAGAATGGCATATTATAGTCTTATAAAATTTCTAAGACTTAATTAAACCTTTGTGATAAATTGATATCATATGTCCAATTATGAAACAACCAAAACAAACAAAATACTGTGAATTGTGAAATGGTCACTCAGAGCCAGAGGCTCTACTATGAAGTCCAAATAAAAAATTGGTCCATTTGAGGCCACTTAATTCCTCCAAATGAAACCATTCAAACCCACAAAACGTAAAGCATTTGGTAGAATATTATAATGATACTTCCACTTGTAAAATGTTACATGAATCCAACAGAAATAAATTAATATTTGGTACTCTTGAGCACATTTTTGCTATTGAAATCAAGGGCAGATAATTCAAGGGAGCTAACTCTGGATGGCCCAATATATTGCAGAATCTGAACCAAATCGCGATTATCATATCGCGAGATACTGTACCGGTCTATACCGGTTTACGGGTAATATTGCACAGCCCTATTCATGAGTTCCTTTGAAAGAATGAGATCTTGTATTGTGACTCTTGTTCCTAGATGTGGATCACTGTAAGCAATTTTGATTGAGACAAATGGCAGGACATTTTTACAATTGTAATCAGCTTTTAGCTGGAAATGATTCTATTTCATCACAAAATTTGTAAAATGTTTGAAAAATAATCTCAATGATAATCAATGTCTTTTACGAAATGAACATTTTTGAATCTCTGTAACACATTGATCAGCTTTGGTTGTATGCTCAAGTTAGCTGGGAGCTTTCACTTTAATGAGTTTATGGTGTAGTACATCATGTTCCCCTTGAATGAGAGTTCAAGATACAGGTTGAGACTGGGTTGGTGTAGTGCTTGATAATGATTGTGTCATGTTACCCCTTGTATTTTGGCTTCTATTTAGTGGAATTGTTGTTTAAATTGTTTCTTTCTTTAATAGGTTCGGCCATCACTGGACCAGTTGCAAAAGAATGTGCAGACCTTTGGCCCCGTATTGCATCAAACGCGAGCTCCATTTCCTAAGTGTAACTAAGGGGGCAAATAAAGGGGTCTGTGTTATGCCATGTTTTGTGTTTCTTGAAATTGTTGCCTACCCAAAGCACTACCAAAGCATCAACCATTTGCATCTGAGAACAGAATACACACCTGTTTGAGGGATGTCATGAGAGTGATTAGGTGTAATATTCAAGTCAAGTTGAAAGTACAGTATTGACAAACAACGTATTTTATGAGTGTGAGTTGTCCATAAAGTTTGTCCATATAGAACTTTCTAAAATGCCACTCAGATAAGTTACATTGCAAGTACTCTTTATTCAGCCTGGTACTCAGCCTGGACTCATTAACCGTAGTAATGTGAAAAAATATAAGTTCTAATTTAAGTAGTATATAATGTGGATCAGGCTCACCACTCATCAACCAGATAACATTACATGAACTCTCAGGGTCAACAGTTACCAGAGGGCAAGCTGAACGTAGGGTTTCTTGAGGGTGTCCTTTGTGTAATGACTATATTCCGGTTGTTTAAAGCACTGAAACCAGTTTCCCTGAAGAGAGATTATGACAATGTCACTTTGTGGGTGTTACTGTTGTTTGGCAACCTCCAGACGAGACAAGTCTGTGACAAGGCTTTGTGATCACTGTTTTCACTAACAGAAATGAGACCAATTTTCTTCAGTGAGTACTGGATGTTCTCTCCTTGTTTGGTAGAGCTTGAGAAGACAGGCTGTTTTGGGCCTGACACCAAGTGTCCTTAAGTCAACAATGAAATACAAAATGCTACATCTTTTATTCTTTGAGACTCTTGACACTGCTATAGCTCCATAAGGGTCATACCTTGTACTTTCGCCATAAATATACAAATCACTCCAGGTTTTTGAAGGAGAAAACATACTTTTCGAGACAACACATTCACAATATTCTGTATATACAATTAATGTACAATGTTAATCTCAAGCAAATACAACACACTGTCCTCGGTTCTGATTAAGAATGATTTACAATTCAGCAACCAGGCATCTTAAAACTCCATGCACAGTTACTTTCAGATAACTACATACCACCATTATTCTGGTTAAATGGGAAAAATGCCAACCATTGAACATGCACAGCCAGAAATCTAGAAGATTATTTAAATTGTTAAAACATCTAACCAAACCAAAAATTATTATTTTTTCAAAACATATGCATCTCACGAGTATATTCTATACAAAAGTGTAAAATATTTTAAAAGCCTCTGTATATATAACCTATTACTACATACAGTATACATACTCCACTAAACATTCCCTAACAATAGTGTTGAGGATCTTGAGATTGGCTGTCATCAAACACTGGTTTCTCATGGTAGAGTTGTCCCCAGCGTCTTCATCATCACAAACTACCTGCCACTGGTCAGATCAAAGAACAAGGAGGGAGGGTTGCCTATACAGAATTTATGGAATGGTCATGAAAAACATTTAACAGATTGAACATAAAATTTGGAATTTTTTTTATCCAAGACTAACATATTGACATATGTTTGCAAATTGACAAGCTGCTGGTATGTCTGTTTTCACGAGACCAGCTTCTTTTTTCCGTCACTTCAATAGATTGTGCCTAAGCTATGAAACAGGATATGATAAAACTGCTTCCAAATAATTGTATGAATACAGCTTAACATTCTTTTCTGTCAGGCATGTTACAGAGGGATAGAAATTAATAATCTGAAAACTATGATTTACATAAAATCATTGAGTTAGCGGAGTTGAAATTGAGCTAGTGAGTGAGAAGTTATCAATCTTTAAAAATGACATTATTTTATGAGAGTATGTAAACACTGTGAATCCATAAAACCAAGAAAAAGGTTAGTTTTCTAAAACTGATTTTAAAGAAGTTCTACAATGGTTCAATACCAAGTTCACTGACCAGGGGTAGATATCCTTTGTGCAACTAATCTGAACATCCTGAAAGTTTAAACAAGGGGGAATCTTGAATAACACATCAACATCATCAATGATACAAAATGTCTCATTTTCAGTTTCTTTCAAACTAATAGTAGTAGAACCTACAATAGTCAGAAAAAAAAATGTATCGAAATGTTGACAGATTCCCCCTTGTTACCCGTAGGACTGTTAAGATAACCCACAACCTTCCATGTAATGAGAGGTGGTGAACATCATTAGTCCTTGGAACACATCTTGCAGTACCTACTGACAGCTCGATTGCCAAATTTTCCAAAGAATATCAGATAGTGTTCTTACTGGAACGATATTCATGACTCGGTACAAGCATATAAAACCAAATATTACAATAATGCATTTTTTCACAATATTAAGGTAAATTGAAAAAATACAGTTGCATAAAAATCATTTGGTCCAATATTTGAATACTGAATCATTAAAAGTTACAATGTCAACGATTCCAGAAGCACTAAATGATGTTCTTGAAAGTTGCAAGAGCAGTCAGAGAAGGATCTGCAAGATGTTTATGAAGATCAGGTGACTCTTAGATCCATGGACCACGTGGGAGGCCTGTTGTCATACATTTGTTCTGAGAATGTTTGACCAGCCTCTTTTTCACTTGATGAAGATGCTCCACCATCACCTGTTGTGGCAGACTTCTTGTCTTCTTGTGACCTTGAGACAAGGTCAGCTGCATCAATATCAGAGTTGAATGGGTTCTCTAAGAGTTTCAACACCCGTTTCACTTCAGAGTAGTCGCCCTTCTCGGCTGCCGCTATTGCATTCTGGGCTATGTAGTTGCGCAGGATGATTCTGGATAATAAAAGATTGGAAATAAAACTATCAATCATTGGATGTATATTATTTACTATGTGACATATTTATAATGTTATTTGATGGGAAACATATTGTGCCCTAAATATTCCACTCAAATGTTTCTTTCATCAGTGCATTGTTGAAAATGATTTAAAATGACATCATAAACTGTTTGTGACATTGCAGAAGACATTTTGTGGTACACATAAAACAGTTGGTTCAGGCTAAGAGTGAGTGAGTGAGTATGGTTTTACGCTGCTCTTGGTAATATTCCAGCAATATTACTGCGGGGGACACCATAAATAGTCTTCAGTCATTGTACCCATGAGGGGAATCGAACTCGGGTCTTCAGCATGATGAGTGAACACTTTAACCATTAGGCTACCCTACTGCCCGGTTCAGGCCAAGACTGTATACTGTACCAAAACAGACCATAGGTGTAAATATTTACCTTTTTTATGCAAATTATGTGAATGGCATGTGCAACAATTAGTGCAGGAAAAGCTTCCTCTCCTCGTGAACACCTGATGCTTTCACTGATTTTCATATTTATATTGTTTCGGTACATTTTGCCTTTTACATTATATGTTCTGCCAAATACTGGGTAATTAAGACTGAGTATTACCTGACATTTTATGATATACAGAATATCCCGACTGAAAACCATTTATGATTATTTATCACCCAGAAATCAACCAGTGAGTTCGTTGCGATGGCTTTAAGATGACATTCTCCTGTCTCACCTGGGGTTGTTGCTGTTCATAAGTTCAACCCTTCTCTGGTTGACGGCCTCCACATCCCGCTCCCCTGCCACCTCCTTCGTAAGACGCCCCATGTACTTTGTCAACCATTGAGTCCAGGCTTCTCTGTCTCTTCCTGTCTTTATATCTTGGGTCAGATCCTGTCAACAGTTCAAACTTTGAATTCCAAAACATCTGCTGTTAACACAGAGGGGCAAGACTTGGGACAAATGGGTGATTGCTCAGTCTAATCTCAATTAAGGGGATCACCTTTATAAATCTTCTGTCATACACATGATGACTGTTATGTTACTGAACGGTTTTATTATCTGTCACTCAGATGTGCCATGTTACCAAGAGGCTATACTTTCTCATACAGCGTTAGCCTGAAGACTCCAAAAATGAGAAATTGAATTATATGTATTATTTCATTTGATTAAGTCATCTTCTCTGCAATTTTTCTTGCGCAGCAGGATTTGTATGAAGAAACAGAAATGGTTAGAGAGTGTTTTATCCAAATCCACTCTCTCAATCAAATACAGTCCAAAGCTAACATGGGCAAGAGGCTTGGGTAAGACTGACTCACCATAGTGACTAGAGGACTCACCATCAAAACAAGAAGGATTCACCTTCATCATGGGCAACAGGCTTGCATAAGACTGACTCACCATCACGACTAGAGAACTCACCATCAAAACTAGAAAGATTCAACTTCATCATGGGCAGTGGGCTTGGGTTAAACGGACTCACCATTACATCTAGAGGACTCATCTTCATCATAGGAAGCAGGCCTGGCTTATACCGACTCACCATCACAACTAGAGGACTCACCATCAATTCAGGAAGGACTAACCTTCATCATGGGCAGCAGGCCTAGGTTACACTGACTCACCATTACAACTAGAGGTTTCACCTTCATCACGGGGGCAGCTGGTCTCCATTAGACTGACTCACCATCAGTACAAGAAACATTCACTTCATCATGGGAAGGAGGCCAGGGTTAGACCGACTCACCATTACAACTAGAGGACTCACCTTCATCATGGGAAGGAGGCCAGGGTTAGACCGACTCACCATTACAACTAGAGAACTCACCTTCATCATGGGAAGCAGGCCAGGGTTAGACCAACTCACCATTACAACTAGAGAACTCACCTTCATCATGGGAAGGAGGCCAGGGTTAGACCGACTCACCATTACAACTAGAGAACTCACCTTCATCATGGGAATCAGGCCAGGGTTAGACCAACTCACCATTACAACTAGGGAACTCACCTTCATCATAGGAAGCAGGCCTGGATTAGATTGACTCACCATCACAACTAGAAGACTCAAATTCATCATGGGAAGCAGGCCAGGGTTAGACTGACTCACCATCATAACTAGAGGACTCACCTTCATCTTTTCCTGTTTCTGCATCCTCTCCAGCTCCCTGGTGAAAGACAGGAAGCCACGACCAAGCATTGGCAGCAGGCCAGGGTTAGACTGGCCCAACATGAGAAGCATCTGCAGCTGTCTGGAAGTATCAGGAACAATCACTGAGGCATAAAGGACTGGTCCCACACAGAGAAAAGACAAGGGAAAATTCTTAACTGGCCTCATGGAAAAACATTATATGCTTCACAATTATCATCCCATTTCTCATTTCATTTGTGAAGCATCCTTTAAGAATATCATATCATGTCAGAGCTTTGGCACAGTTCATTTAGGTTGTCACCCACTTTGAATGACATTATACATACTAGTGGTGGTCCATTAACTGAAATAATCAAAGATTGGTCGCAATGACTAAACGACCAATCAATCGATCATGTTTTCTCATAACCGAACACAAACAATGTTGGACCACTTGTTTGCTTTAACAGTAATTTTCACTAGGTTGGTTTTGTCTGTTACATTTCATAGCACTACAAGCTCGTTCCAAGCCATGACTGAATATATCTTAACAACTCCAGGAATTTATGTTCCTAACATACTAGTCATCCTTTAAAGATGTAAAATTTGCAAATGCATTTTGTGCAATTTGCTAAAAAATCAAAAGAACAACATGATTTTTTTTATTGTTCGTGCATTAACAAACATAACCAGGAAAATTTGATAAATGACACTAACCAATTATTTTTGATGACTGATCGGTTGTAATGAACCAATCATTAATTATGAGATTTTAACCAATTCCCAACACTAATACATACCTACTGGTGTCATAGTCAAAAAAATATATTCACATTTTCCAATATTGCCTCACAAAAAGCATCAAACTTGATGGGTGATGTCAAGACACAAGGTAACACAAAAGCTGAAGTTTGTAAATCATATTCCAAAACACTGGTATGCTGAACATTGATTTGTCAAAGTTATGGTTGTCTTGATGTAAATGCTTCATCTCTGCATACCGGTATTCTATACTTAGTCATCATTTTGCAGTTGTTTCAAACCTTGGTTAAACCAAGGCACTTTAATATGTCCCTCCAACATCGACATAATAATGTCTGAAATTTATTTCCATATGAATGAAAGTTAAATACAATACACCCTTGGGAAGTTTTTAGTTCTTTTAACACCAAATCTGAGTGAGTTTAGTTTTACGCCACACTCAGCAATATTACAGCTATATGGCTGCGGTCTGTAAATAATCGAGTCTGGATCAGACAATCCAGTGATCAACAGCTTGAGCATCGATCTACGCAATTGGGATACAATGACATGTGTCAACCAAGTCAGTGAGCCTGACCACCTGATCCCATTAGCGGCCTCTTATGACAAGCATGGGTTACCAAAGATCAATTCTAACCCGGATCGTATGGGTTTACATCAAATCTGACCTTGAGTCCATCTGTGTCTCATTAGCCTTCCTGAGCTCCTCCACAGAACTGCACTGGGTCAGGAGGTAGTCGGTGACATCTTGCAGATCTTGTTCTGCTGTGGTACTGCCAGGCAGAGACAGCCGACTCAGACAGCGGAAGCTGTTGGTGAAGTCGCTGTTGGTGGATTGCATGGTGTCTATCAGGGACTTCACAAGATCGCTGTTGGTAAAGTAAGCATCTTTTATTATAATGTCACTTTGACATCTGGACTATGCAGCATTTGAGTTTAGAAATATTCCAGCAATATCACAGCGGGGTAACCATTAAACACTGTACCCATGTGGGGAATAGAAATGGAGTCTTTGGCGTCACGAGCAAATGCTTTAACAATGAAGCTACCCCACCACTCCCGCAGCATTTAAAAACACAACTACAGGTTCCTGTATGCCTAAGGGACACAACTCTGCACGGCTGCAAGGAACATGCTGAAGACTGGTGAAACATATGAGTGAGTTTGGGTTTAATGTAATTTGGGTCTAGTGCCATCAAAATAGAGGTAAATTCAGGTGAGGGAGTGAGTGAGTTTAGTTTTACTGCACTCAGCAATATTCCAACTATGTGGCAGTGGTCTGTAAATAATCGAGTCTGGACCAGACAATCCAGTCAGGGGCATAGCTACCATTGTAGGAAAAAGCCCGGGCTTACACATAATTTTTGCTAGAACGGTTGCACAAGCCCTCATTCCTATCTAAATATACAGCTTTGCAACCTATCGGGCTTACACGAAAAAATTGGCTTGCTACGCCTGCCAGTGATCAACAGCATGAACATCGATCTGCGCAATGGGGAACCGATGACATGTGCCAACCAAGCCAGCAAGCCTGACTACCTGATCCTGTTAGTCGCCTCTTATGACAAGCATGGGTTACTGAAGGTTCATCCTAACCCGGACCTTCACTGGAGACAAGCATGGGTTACTGAAGGTTCATTCTAACCCGGACCTTTACGGGAGACAAGCATGGGTTACTGAAGGTTCATTCTAACCCGGATCTTCACGGGAGGGTAAAGTCAGGAGCAGGGGCTCATTCCATAAAGTGATCATAGCGCCACGACTGTTGTCTGTGTTGAAGTATGGGAGTTATGATCGTCTTAGGGTAATGGCTGCCTGTGTAGCAGGTCTTTCATTTGAATTTGTAATTTTCTGTATCATCATTTCCTGTATTTAAATTATTCCAAATTAATTTCCGTTCAGAGATACACTATTGAGAATGATTATTATTACTATTAAACTTACCCATCTTCTGTTAATTCCTTCCTTAGGCCTAGCTAAAGGAAAAATCATAGTTCAGTATTAATAACCAGCATGGATAAAAGTGTTTAACATTCAGAAACTTATAAAAGTGACCGTACACTTGATCCTACATATTTTTACAGATACGAGAAATGGTGACACTCTTCATCTGAGAAACAAAAGTTGACAACCACTGATTATTTACAGACTGCTGCCAAGTAGCTGGAATATTGCTGGGTGCGGCATTAAACAACAAACAGTACCTTTCAAACTGACAATAGACAACAACAAATAGGTCACGGCACTTCGCGAGACCTTAGTTCTAGTGACAAACAATGTTTTATACCTTTTTGAATGGTCTCATGGTTGTCAGTTGACAGTAAGGAACTGATAATCCTTGCAGGCATAATGAATTTACGATCTAACCATCCCTACATTAGCCAATCAGAGGTACAGATAAGCTGCATATCTGCGTAAATTACGCAAATACTTATGTGAAAACTTAATTCCTATTAAGTCTATTGCGTACAAGTACACTTGCATTTTTGTAAATACTCAACAAATGTGATCTTACATGCGTACAGACAAAATGTCAAATCTTAGCTTGCGTACTGGTGGATAGACAAAATAACTGAAGAGGTTCTATTTCTGGGCATGAACTTGACAACTTGATGCAAAAGGGAGCCGAGAACCAGCTAAGTACCGGAAGTAGCGCCTGGCGAGACTTACAGGAGCTATGATCTGACCCTGTTATCTGTACTGAGACTGCACCATCCCAATCCACCTCTTTTCTCACCTTCTTCCTCATCTTCATCTTGTAGTGGTCAGCATACACTTCATCAAACAACTCCAATGCAGGCTGGGTAACGGAGAGAGGAATGGCATCCTGTATAGCCTCTGCAAGCTTCCCACAATTCCACTTGCAGATTTCAGGTTGTTTCTCGTATGTGTATCTCCCACCATCATCTGCACAGACAACCACCATGTGTACGATGAGTGAGTTTAGTTTTATGCCGTATTCAGCAATATTCCAGCCATATGGACCAGACAATCCAGTGATCAACAGCATAAGCATCAACCTACGCAATTGGGATACAATGACATGGGTCAACCAAGTCAGCAAGCCTGACCACCCGATACCGTTAGTCGCCTCTTATGACAAGGATGGGTTACTGAAGATCAATTCTAACCCAGATGTTCATGGGTCACAATGTGGAAGGTGACTTGAAAAAACACAGCAAGTGATGCGTGCAAGGATTATCGCTGTGGTCGAAGTTGGAGAACAAAAGATGTTTCTTGAGATTACAAGCATCTTTGGTCCTCAGTAATAAAAATACACTGGTCCCATACTTTTTTCTTATATGTTTTCACACCTTGCTTTTGGGGGATTGGCAGATTTGCAAACCAAGTTTTCAAGAAAGTGTAGCATTAGAAATACTAATTTCTTTGTTTAAAATTGCTCAGCTTGAAAACTGAAATGTTTAAATATGTGTCTATGAAAACATAGAAAAATATGTTGATTGTGATAAGCAGTCTCTGTCACAGACAAAACTCAATGTCTGTTTTATTGACATCTATGTGTCTGCCTGTCTGCTAATGACAATATGCAATACACAACTTCAATCATTGACCACATGCAATTTGAACTTGAAACGTATCAGGCTATACACCATAAACAAAATACATTGATTTATGGCTCGTGCACCTGAGTTCTGTCTCTGTCACATTATGTAATTACACAGACAGGCAGGTGTGATACTTGTACACATGACATGTTATTATGTCTGTGGGTTGCAAACAAACAGCATCCATTTTTCTCGGATGACTACATGGATCGGACGGAACCCGGTGCAAACACAGATTGTCAGTTTCAAGTCCTGCTTTGTACTTGAACGAACGACAGTTTCCGGCCACGCAGTAGTTCACCATCTCAGTATTTGTTGATTTGATCAAAAGCAAATGCAGACAAAATGAGCATGTATTTTCAAAACCCAACATCTGTATATACACACACACACAATGAGCCTTGAGGGCATCAGCAAATGAACCAGCAAATGAAAGTCATCGTTACACTTGAGTGCACACCCACCCGCTCTGACTGGGTTCGGTCTCTCTGGTGCTTCGTTTCGAGGGAAGTAAACCCAAGTACCAAATATTGCACTTTTGATTTGCGATTGTACGCTTATAATTTTGTTTATTTGTTTTTTCATAATCAGCAATGTAAATTAAATGTCATGAATAAGTGATAATTGTGTTTTGATTATGTTTGTTTATTTGGTTGCATGTGACCGTTAACTATTTGGTACTAAGTAACTACTGGCTTCCCTTGTTATCTCATCACTGTTGTTGATTCACATGTACTTATATAACAATTTGTTTCCTAGTTTTTTTATCCCCCCAACATCTTCTGGCAAATTTCCAACTTCAAAATTCACACAAATCTAATCAACCCTAATGTTCAGATTGCCATATCTTTATGTCAAATCTCTTCGATCATACACTAAATGGCCTGGCAGGCCCGTGCGCAAAAAATGCATTGTATAGGAAAGCACGTGTTAAATCTCCAAAACATCATCTATTGATTACATCCCAATGGAAGAGTATGGATATACTCCGAAAAGTCATGTTCCTCAAAATAAAGAAGTTGACAACCATAAATTTTCGCCTTAATGTGTATCGTTTCTAAATGCTGCTCAAAGACTCCAACATTGCCAGTTTTGACCTGGTATGTCTCTTACTGGGTGATTCAGACAAACACACATGATTGTTGAGGTGAATGTAATACAATACACCATATAAATACATGATTCATTTTATGTAACAGATAGTCATAAATAAATTTATGAAGTCATCCCTAAATTCTCGCCTTAATGTGTATAACTTCTAAATGCTGCTCAAAGACTCCAAGTTTGCCAGTTTTTGACCTGGTATGTGTCTTACTGGGTGATTCAGAAACTTAATTGTTGAGGTGAATTTAATACAATACACTGTATGAATACATGATTTATTTGATTAACAGATAGTCATAAATAATGACCACTAACACATGTATTTATACAGGGCAGAAATTAATGATTATGATGTGCTATGATCAGATCAGCGATATATATACTTCTCATTATTTATAGTGAGATCACATATTACCTTACTTTTCATACTTGGTATGCTGGTAGGCATCTTGAAATGATACATACAGTTCATGCAAGTTTGATTCCAAGCATCGTTTACAACTGAAATCTACTAGGGAAGAGGTTGAAGCCTGCATCAAAAACACAGGTTGGTTCTCACATGTGTATCAATACCAGATCTTACCTGAGCCATTACAGACGAAGTTTGGATCAAAGCTGTCCATGAAGCCATATGGTCCATAATCTATGGTGAGTCCCACGATGCTCATGTTGTCTGTATTCAACACACTGGAACACAAAGATAATTCAGCTCACATATCCACTCCTAGTCACATCAGGTGAGGTGAGGTGAGGTCATACGTCGTACTTGAGGATATTTCGCTCATATGACGACATGCATGCGTGTGTATGTGTATGTGCGGCTGCTTGTACTAGCCCAGACTTAAGCTGGTTTTATAGTGCTAGCTCACTGAGATACCATGCCCCCAGTGAAGCATGAACACCCCACTCAGACACATTATACTGACTCCGAGCCGACCAGTCCTTGTTGTACCCATTAATACCGAGCGCCAGGCAGGGACCAACAAGTACCATATTTTAACGTCTTTTGGTATGACGCGGTCGGGGATTGAACCCATGACCTTCCGCTCTTCGGGCGGACGCTCTAACCACTACACCACGGAGGCGGTCTAGTCACATCAGGTCTTAGACCCGTGAAGGTCCAGGTTAGAATGAGCCTTCAGTAACCCATGCTTGTCGTAAGAGGCGACTAACGGGATCAGCGGGTGGTCAGGCTCGCTGACTTGGTTGACACATGTCATTGGATCCCAATTGCATAGATCGATGCTCATGCTGTTGATCACTGGATGGTCTGGTTCAGACTCGCTTATTTACAGACTGCTGCCATATAGATGGAATATTGCTGAGTGCGGCGTAAAACTAAACTCACTCACTCATTCAAGTCATACAGCTGACAGTTCCAAAGATGATTTTATCATTTACACAGTGACAAAGGCTGCCACTAGTCCAGGTGTACAGAAGTGTACAGGGAAGTAACATACCCATGCAGCACACCACACACTGCCACTAGTCCAGGTGTACAGAAGTGTACAGTGGAGAAACTCACCCATGACACCACACCACACACTGCCACTAGTCTAGGTGTACAATGGAGAAACTCACCCATGACACCACACCACACACTGCCACTAGTCTAGGTGTACAGAAGTGTACAGTGGAGAAACTCACCCATGACGCCACCCCACACACTGCCACTAGTCCAGGTGTACAGAAGTGTACAGTGGAGAAACTCACCCATGACATCACCCCACACACTGCCACTACACTAGGTGTACAGAAGTGTACAGAGGAGAAACTCACCCATGACACCATCCCACACACTGCCACTAGTCTAGGTGTACGGAAGTGTACAGTGGAGAAACTCATCCATGACACCACCCCACACTGCCACTAGTCCAGGTGTACAGAAGTGTACAGTGGAGAAACTCACCCATGACATTACCCCACACACTGCCACTACACTAGGTGTACAGAAGTGTACAGAGGAGAAACTCACCCATGACACCATCCCACACACTGCCACTAGTCTAGGTGTACGGAAGTGTACAGTGGAGAAACTCACCCATGACATCATCCCACACACTGTCACTAGTCTAGGTGTACAGAAGTGTACAGTGGAGAAACTCACCCATGACACCACCCCATATACTGTCCCTAGTCTAGGTGTACAGAAGTGTACAGGGGAGAAATTCACCCATGTCATCATCCCACACACTGCCACTACACTAGGTGTACAGAAGTGTACAGAGGAGAAACTCACCCATGACACCACCCCACACACTGCCACTAGTCCAGGTGTACAGAAGTGTACAGTGGAGAAACTCACCCATGACACCACCCCACACACTGCCACTAGTCCAGGTGTACAGAAGTGTACAGGGAAGTAACATACCCATGACACCACCCCACACACTGCCACTAGTCTAGGTGTACTGTGGAGAAACTCACCCATGACACCATCCCACACACTGCCATTCGGCCACTAGTCTGGCTGTACTCCTCACAACCTCCTTAAAGAAATCGAGGTACACGGTCTGTTTGTCTGCACTGTGAGCATCCCAGATCTGAAGAGTTAGATATAATTATGTTAGATTAGATAGAAACAGTAATAGTATTGCCATTTACTGATTACATCAATTATTGAACCTAGCATGTACAGCTTCAGAGATAACCATCAAACACATTTTGCACCAAGTCATGTTTCCATGGAAACAGCAAAAAATATTATTCGGATAAACTTTAAAATAGCAAAAGGCATATCTGTGGGTCATGATTAACTTGTGTGTTAAGTGGTGAACCAAGCATGTATTTTTTGGTGATATGCTTCAGACAAGATAACCATCAAACACATTTTGCACTAAATCATGTTTCCATAGAAACAACAAAAATAAAATTCTGATAAACTTTAGAATAGCAAAAGGCACATCTGTTGGTCATGATTAACTTGTGTTTTCAGTTTGGTGAACCTAGAATGTATAGTTTCGTTGATATGCTCTGGACAAGATAACCAAACACATTTGCTTAAGTCGTGTTTCCATGGAAACGGCAAAAGATACAATTGTGATATTTTTGAAATAGCAAAAGGCACATCTATGGGAAATGATTAACATGTGTGTGAAGTTTGGTGAACCTAGCATGTAAACTTAAAGAAATAAGCTCTGGACAAAGTTTTGGGCTGGATGGACAGATGGACAGAAGGACAGAATAAACGCTATATATCCCGTTACTTTGTAGCAGGGTTATGATAATTACAAGATAAACACACACAATAAATTCAATTCTAAGATGCTTTGCTAAAAGATCAAAGTTGCCGACAGTACTTTATCAGGCGATAATGTAGACTTCTCACACTGTATTGAAGTCATTACGCCATTCTAGTCTGCACCCTCATAATCAAATATACCCTTGGTAACCCATGTCCCCAAAATTGTTTCCATGGAAATCCAGAAAAATGAAAATGCCCAAAAATCTGTAAATAGCAAAAGGCACCTCTTTAGGTTCTGTTTCATATATATTACAGTCAGACCTCATTTATCCGAACACTTTGGTTTTATTGAATTGTTCGGACAAACGAATCATTCAGATATCTGAATCAGTTTTCTGTAATGTGCTTTAAAAGTCTGTATGATCCCTGCATCCATTGGCTGAATGTGTGCGGTTGTGTCAGGTGGCAGGAAATGGACAGTCACGCTGGTCAGTTTCAGATTTTTAGTCGTGACTAGCCGCATTGTCAACAAGCAAAATGACCCGCCTTCCACGTGACCTCATCTGTCGATCAAAAGACAGCAGCCAATCACAAAACAGCTCTGCTGTCATCCATGCCTTTGTGTTGTTTCTATATCTAGCATATATCTCAGGATTGAAATTGCTATCAAAACATCTAGGCCTATGGGATTTGCCAATTACAAAAGGTTTGATTTTTACAGTTCCAGTTGAACAAGAAGACAAAGTCATCAATATCCCCCGCAATGGCAAAATACTCTTCATGAATATGTCTAAGAGTTATGATTATGTCAAATGTTTTGGTGTGTATATAGAAAAGTGGAAGGAGAGTATTGAAAGGTTTTAAAAGTTCTGCTCCAGAAAGGAGCACAACCACTAACTTCAATCTAAGTCAAACTTGTTGCCATGGAAATGACAAAAATATTATATTCAGAATTCCAAAACTACCAAAAAGGAACCAGTACACCACCAGACCAATCTGTGTGTCAAGTTTGGTGAAGAAATAGTGAACGGTTTTAGAGATCAGCTCCGGAAAAGAGCACTACCACCAATTTCAGGCTAAGTCAAATTTGTTGCCACGGAGCCAAAAATATTTTATTCAGAATTCCAAAACTATCAAAAGGCACCAGTACACCACCAGATCTCTCTATGTGCCAAGTTTGGTGAAGAAATAGTGAACGGTTTTAGAGTTCAGCTCCGGAAAAGAGCACTACCACCAATTTCAGGCTGTCAAACATGTTGCCACGGAAATGCCAAAAATATTTTATTCAGAATTCCAAAACTACCAAAAGGCACCAGTACACCACCGGATCTATCTATGTGCCAAGTTTGGTGAAAAAATAGTGAACGGTTTTAGAGTTCTGCTCCGGAAAAGAGCACTACCACTAATTTCATTCTAAGTCGAACTTGTTGCCATGGAAACGCCAAAAATGTTTAATTCAGAATTCCAAAACTACCAAAAGGCACCAGTACACCACCAGATCTATCTATGTGCCAAGTTTGGTGAAGAAATAGTGAACGGTTTTAGAGTTCTGCTCCGGAAAAGACAAATGTGCACGGACGGACGGACGGAGTCCATTTTAATACCCCCCGCAAAACGCGTTGCGGGGGGATAATTAGCACACAATGCTACAGTGATCGTTTCCTTTGATTGCTTAGTTCCACTTACAGGTTGTGACACCAATGTGTGATTAGGTCCCAGTTTATAGAACAGTCCAGTTTATTTATGCTTACTCAATCAACGATTCGAATCAGTGTTAACTCAATGTCAAACTTTAATTGTTTCTTCTCTAGTCTAATGTTTTGACAGCGGTAGACAGGATATCAGGGCTTCAGATAAGGGCCGTATCGGCATATGTACGGACAAAAAATATGCACGATACGGTAGGAAATAATTTATAAAACGTAGCAGATACGCACCACTGCAATGGTGTACGGTCTTAGAATCATTTACAGGCGTATTTATCTGAAAAGGTATTGTTTTATTGTTTATTGACCTGTTTACACAAGAGTAGCAATATTGTGGTGCATATATGAAATGAAACACAAGATTACTGATAGTCCATTAATTTCCATTCAGTACTCTAAATGTACACTTAAGGTTTTCCAGTACTCCTATATTGAACAATTAAGGAGTACTTACTCCTGATGTTGAAAAATTATCTGGAGCCCTGGGATATACTTCGTGTTTTGATACCTTACCGACGACAGCCTTGGTGTTCGGATATACGAGGCAAATTTGTACATATTTTGCTGTTTCGTTACCAAAATTGACCGTTCGGATATGGAAACCGAACATTCGGATATACGAGGTAAACTGTAACTAGAAAATTTCTTGTTTTGTGAAGAATGTTCGGAAACCGAGGTATTCGGATATTTGAAGTTCAGATATACATGTACAAGGTCTGACTGTATATACCAATTTTGTTGAAAAATATTGATGTTTTTTTAGTTATGTCCGTAAACAGAATGATTGTGGACGGACAAGACGGACAGATGATGCATTGACTATATCCCCTTGCATTACATACCGGTGGGATAACTACCACCACAAATGATAATTGACAAAGTTTGCATGTCCAGTCAGAATGCACAATTTGCATTGATATCATGTCTGTTACAAATGACCCAAGTACCTCTGTGTAGAATGTCTTGATGGTGTAGTTCAACATCTGATGCAGCAGCTCTGTCTTGCCGACACTGGGACCTTTCCGACCAGACTCGGGGTCAGTGGGTTTGAAGATTTCAAATGATCCAAACCTGAAATTATATGCAATGGATGTGGGTGAACTATGGATGGGATGGTTTGGTTGGTATTTGTCTTGTTTGTCTTTATGCTTTGTTTTTGTATTAATTTTATATGTTAGTACTAGTTGGTCATGTGGGATTATAAGTGAACTAAAACGCCAGGCCCCGATTTCTCGAAACAAACTTAAGTTTTTACTCAAATTTCAAACTGAGTTTGACAATTTGAAACAGCTGAATTTTTAACTCAGCTGCATTTTTAAGATAAAAAAGCCCAAACAACTTAAGTAATCTATCCACCAAACTCAAATTGTCTACTATGTTTGAGTTTAATATTGATTTCAGTTCATTCTGGGAAATGCATTTTCTCAAATTTGAGTAAAAACTCTAAGTTTAACTTAAGTCAAAACTCACACTTAAGTTTGTTTCAAGAAATCGGGGCCAGGTTTGATAAGATTTATGCCTCAGGCTTTGAAGGTTTGGGTGTTACTTAGTGGGTTTAGGAGTGTCTGTTGTGTAAGGTGTGTTAGTGTCCAGTGAACTCTGGAGCACCATTTCAGTGGGTTTAACGATTTCAAATGATCCAAACCTGAAATTATTTTGCAATATTAACAATGTAAGAACAGTACATGAAATTGCCACACAGGTTTGCAAAGAAGTGCTTTGAGTGATTACTTTTTTCAATGTGATGAAGTCATCACCAAAGATTGTGGATTTAACACAGATTCTATGCCTTAGGAGTTTGGCTCAAAGGCAGCATTCTAATACATCATGGAATATCAATGCTTGACACAACATCAGAATACCTCACCTTTTTATGGATATACAACTTCTTTTATTCTGTGATGGGCGATGTTTCGAAATAGATTCTAATGTCGTTGTCATCACTTGCTTGACAACAACATTAGAATCTATGTCAAAAACGTCGCCCTTCACAGAATAAAAGAAGTTGTATATCCATAAAAATTGTCATCATTCTTCATCAACTCAACTTCTAAAATGCCCATCAAAGAAACCCTGTAGGATATATTACTATAAAAGAGAGAGACCATTTTGTGCCATGTAGTGCCTATTCAGGTGCGTGCTATACATATACGTACTATATCCTATTTTCATTAAACATTTACGAAAACTTCATCAATGCTTGCAATTAAACATGGGTCTAAACAATAAATAGACAGAGCGGCTGCTCCCTCGGCAAGCCATAAATAGACTTGACTTCCAGATTTGCGGCAGTTATACGATGTTCATCAGATGGCAGAATTTGTGTTCATAATCCTCATTGCTCCTCGCGTGTATAACAACATCTTCAGTGACAGGTGGCAGTGTATTAACGGGTAACTGATCACAAAATGTCGGATTAATGGGACTAAGTGATTACGACAGTCGGTTGTAATTGGGGCTGTCGGAGTCGGAAGGCGGGACTGTCGGATTAACAAGACAAAATTATGGTTGTTCAATTTGTTACCAACAAAAGTGTCAGACAAAGCCGATTGTCGGATAAACGGGAGTCGGCCTAACAAGACTTGACTGTAGTGAGTGTACCCATGTTTGGTTTGGTGTTTGAACATGGGACCTGGTGTGATAAGTTAACCACTAGACTGCCCCACCATCACCTCGTCATCATGTCCAGAACAAACACAAATTACAACACACACGGCACTGACCTCAAGAAAGTTGGAGCTATTCTAAGGACAATGGTGCATTTCTCCTCTTTGGGATTGCCGTTGTAGAAGATGTCCCTGATGACCGTCGTGTCTGACGTCACACAGGTGCCTGCCCTTGTAGTGGGGATACCAAGGTGATGCATCGCCTGGGGATCACAGCACACTTCATATAACCAAAGTTAACAATTGTTATCTGTTATAAAATAATATCAGAGCCATGAGAAGGCTCTGTGGTTCACCTTAATATTTAAAATATTTGTATCATCGAAAAAACGTTTTTCTTCAACCATTACTGCCTGAAATGATTTCATCACTTACACATGTAATTAATAACATGAGTTAAAAACATGCACATTGTTCAAAATATCATGCATTGTTTTTCCATTTTCAGCAATAATACATTTCAATGTAGATCACAATGCAATGGGGATATAAGTAACAGATTTTAGGCTTTAAATAACCCTATAGGATACCTGTTCTTCAAGCCAATTATTGAGAAACAATTATCAGTACCAAATACAGCATGTCATGATCTCTATGTAATAAATATGATTGCATAGCCAACAGTTTCCAATGGTCATACTGTACCTCACTACAAAGAAATTCTCGGATAGTGCTCCTGAGCACCTTTCTTCCATCAGCAGTTCTGGAGTAGGGCGTGAGTCCTGATCCCTTGAACTGGATCTCCCATCTCTCATCCTTCTTGTTGATTACTTCACCAAGATACCTGATACAAGAACACACATCCATATGCAATGCTGGCATCACAGGCACTGGGGCTGGAAATGCTAGAACTGGCATCAGGGTACATATTGTCACTGATGAGGTTTAAACACTATATGAAAGGGTTACAGAGTGGTAAGTGAGTGAGTGAGTGAGTTTAGTTTATGTCACACTCAGCAATATTTCAACTTTATGGCAGTGGTCTGTAAATAATCGAGTCTGGACCAGACAATCCAGTGAACAACAGCATGAGCATCGATCTAAACAATTGGGATACAATGACATGTGTCAACCAAGTCAGTGAGCCTGACCACCCGATCCTGTTAGTCGCCTCTGAAGATCAGGTCTACCCTGGATCTTCACAGGTTACAGAATGGTAAGACCCTATCTGTGACAATATATCCCCTGATGCCAATTTTTGTGTTACAACCTCAATGATCACAGGTTCATTACATGTACCATATTTCAACAAATGTCAAAGGTTATTCTCATAGAGGCATTCTTGATAGTTCATATCTGACCTCAAGCAAATATCAGCAATAATAACTGTTTCATCCACCTGTTCCACCTGACTAGAGATCCCATTGTCCAATTCGTATATAAAATTTCCATTCAATATGTTGTCAAAAACACTCCTTCAGATTTTTCCATTGCATGAACAAATCACAACAACATAACATGAAGTCACCACCTTCATAAGCCTTGATGTATTATACAAAATGGTTCATTATGTAAGCATATTTTTCTGGCTACCTGATTGGTCTAGAGGTGGTCACGTGACCGTCGACAGAAAAGCATATTGACTCTAACCCAGGTCCGACTAAAAGTCATATTGACTTGAGTTACTAAAAATAGATTTTGTTTACGTAAGGGCATCAAGCTATGATGTCATTCTATTGTTTATATGTCACAGTATTGTTGACATAACGTTATTGGTTTGTAGTGAAAATAAAATTACTTTTCTTGACTAAATGGACATGCTTTGGTTTTTAGAAGTTTTCTTTCAGTAAAAACAATTATGGACTGGTGAATTCGGTCAATACCTGTTTTTATGGACCCCCTCGAAAAGCAATGTTGACCTCGGACTTAGTCCTCTATAATAATTGTGTAATGTTTCCACTGTATCCCAAACCTATCAGGGTTATGTAATGGTCTATATCAATATAAAATAGCTGACAGTTTTCTGGAGGTCCAACAGTCAAGGCAAGACGTATGTTTACCGTTGGATCACACCATCTTAGCTAGTCATCAGTACAGGAGGTAACGTGTACGCGAGGTTGTCCCTAATTATGCGTACAAGTGACTGCCTGAGAGGGGGTCACTCATTAGCGTGATTGCCTGATCACGGACACGGAAATTCTGCATGTCACAAAAAAACGAGTCTTAAAGTGTTATTTATGAAAATAATTGAACATAATTTGCCACAGTCATTTATAATTGTTATAGGTTATAAGTTATAGAATGGCATGAATGAATGGTCATTATCTCAGTCATACAATACATTTGTACAAGAGGTTACCCACATTGCAGCCCCATCTCCAAGCTGTCCGGCAAAAACGCCAAACTGATGTCCACAGTAGCAATGGGCAGCTGTTGTCGACCCCGGTAGTAGCTTGTTTCCACTGAAGTATTCCGCTGTGTCAGGCCTCGTCAGCTCACCCTCGGGCAGATCCAGAAGCTCCATTGCTGATTTTGAATAGGCAACGACTTCTGGGTTACTAACAGGGGTTGGCTGTACCTTAGAGAAGCACGCTCCTACGACGGGGCGAACTCGTTTTGCTTCGCTCGGATCAATCGGCAATTCACGTAGCACTAGGTTGTCGAATTTGAGTGTTTCTAAGGTTGCCATTTTGCTGAACTTTCTTACTATCGGAGCAAATATTCTGAAGAGTTCGCGTTTCAAATAAACAGGACGAGAGCAATTTTGCAATGACGAATTACCATAACATCTTGCTTCAGCGATGATAGATGGAGTTAGTCGCCTTAACATCGACAGATCGCCTCCCGAAACCTGCCTTTAGTTTTATATGCACTGAATATATTGTTAATAATGCAAGTTCATTCCTGAATATTTTCCATTATGGCTACACAATTTCTTTAGAAAACTTTCCCAAACAGGTTGTTTTCACCGGAAACGGAAGTACATGTTGTCGCGTACTGTTGCGCATTATTGATACTTGGCTACTGTCTATAAGCTGGACCCCGTCTCGCATATCGCAATATATACGCAAGTTAGCGCGCGCAAAGGGAGCCGGGAACCAGCTTATACTGTCTACAGACTATAGAGCTCCTCGCATCGGTAGTGAAGTCACGCCCTGTGATGGAGCTTGGTGAATAACACAAGTTCAACCATTATTGAAAGCGCAGTTTTTCTGCGTGTACCCCCTGCATGCCGAGGTTATTTTATCCTTTGTTAGTTTTTGTATGTTAGAACTCTGTTTACATAAGAAATGGACACTTTTATCGGAGAACATTATATTTTTAACTTTTACAAAAGTGTTAGAAGATGAAACGTAGCCATAACTGCAAAATGTACGTAGTTCTTATGATGTGTAACATTCATTCTACCATGACTTCAGTAAATACTGGATTGTGATTGGTTAATTTAAGTCACTGAGAGGTATATAATCACGTCATATACCTCTGATTTTCCAACACAATGTGTATTTTTTTTAAATCTTAATAACGCGGGTATGGTAGAATGGAGATAAACATGATGTGTTGGAAAATCAGAGGTATATAACGAAATTATAATAGCTCTAAATTTCAATTTCAATCTGATTAAATTCACCAGATTCGCGTTTCAGTGTCACAAACGTATGGCAGTCGTATGGCAGACTATTACATTGTTAACTTTGTTTCTGCAAGAATTGTACCAAAACATAAAAACCACGCTTTGCCATCCTTTGGTCAAGCCATACAGTATGATTCTGATGGTTTTGTACGAAAGAGGCATTTTTGTTCATATGATATCGTATAATTATGAAGAGAAATATCCACATAATAATGTACAAGGAAAAGACCTTCCTTCCAGAATATTCACCAGTTTTGAAATACATGTAATTGTTTTCATTTATGTGATATCATCACCAACGACCTCCTAGTTCAATTTCATCTTTCATCGAAATGGGGAATGCAAGCTTCTTTTGCCCGACAATTTATATAAACCATTTACACAGTTAATAAATTATGCCGAGCTAAGTTTTGAAAAGAAAATTATGTAAAGAGTGGCACAAATACAATAAATCTGGCATCTAGCTACATTTCTTCCAAAGTGTATTGACCATCTACTGCTAGTCTTTCTTCAGTTTCGAACCGTAGCGCAGCAGACCCCGAGAACCAGGCTGGTCTTTATTCGATGGTGTTGGGAGCAACATCCCAAAGGAACAGCAGCCGCCAACTACTTAAATATAGATATTTATTTTTGATATAATTCTAAGCGAATATTAATCGTTATTTCTTTTTCAAAATGTACACATGTTTTCAATTAATTTCCTGTAAAATGGTGTACTCGGCGCTTTTAAGAATTAAATCAAGTTTCAAGTTTCTTACCCAGGTTGTGTAATACCCAGGGGCAAACGTATTTGTATTTTCCTTCTCATTTCTTTTAAACATTTTCGTCGTCACTGCAACAAGTAACAGAGTAACAATAGTAACAGAGTAATCATTGTAGCTGCTTCTGTTTGTTCCATTAAAAATATTCTGGTGATTATTATTTTAGTAATTGAAGTTGTTTTGACATGGCTGTCTTGGTTGTTTCATTAAAACATGTTACCTAGTATTGTCATCCATTCCCCTAACGAATGCGCCCATTGGGTTCACGTACGTCTGTATTTCCTAACAGGCCCTTCGTCTTGGTCACAGGCACACTGTACTGCAAAGGGGTTGCGCAACAGAAATTGAATTAAATTAAATGAAATGGAGAGACGTTTACTACGTCATCCGAAACCACCAACAACGCTACAGAACTCCGCCAGATCCTTCCTCCGCTATTGAATGATCTTCCCAATGAATTTCATCAACGTTTGGTGACCCCAACGAAGGCCTGCATCGATGCACAAGGTGGACATACTCGCTTCTGACCGTGTGAACGTTCTGGTGAACCTACTGTTCTCTCTTGTTGCTCATTTGCAGGTGCGCTGTTCTTATGGACCTTTGATCGTTGAACCTTGAAACATTTGTTTTTCCTTGTAATAACATTTTATTCGCGGCAATAATAGTTTGACACTGATTCTGTTTGTTGGGTATGTATTACAGAATTTTTGCCATTGAATTCTTGCCGATTCCAACACTGCTTGAATTTGTTCATTCTGGTAATGGGAATCATACGTCATGGCTGTGCTATAGCAGCTATTGATTAACGATCATTTTCCGTAATGAATGATTTTATAGAAATATTTCTTTTACCAGGCTCCTCCGTCTGAGAGTATGGCTCAACATGGTACTGGGAGACTGAAGTCCGCACCGTCGCCTAGAACCACTCAACATGATTTAGAGGGACCTCCAAAGTCCACACTTTCGTCTAGTTCCACTCAGCAGGATACGGAGAGACCTCCAAAGTCTGCACCTTTTACAGGTTCCACTCAAAATAGCACAGAGAGACCTTCTGCCAATAGAGGTGCAACTCGAGACACGGAACCAGCTGGAAAAACAAATGATTCAGATCAATTTGAGTGAGTTTGCTTTACCGGAATGAAAATGTTTTTATAGACGGTTAACAATAAATATTCATTGACTTTGAAAATTTCAATTCCCTTGGTGAAGAAATCAAAGGCGGTCTATCTTGATGAAACAACGAGTGACCAGGATCAGTACATGGGTTTTACAGTATAGTATTTCTTTCTGTTTGCCAGTTTTTGGGACGTATTCCGGACTGTTGACACAGAAGTAGTTCGGAAGGATGCCAACAATGAGGTGACTTTAAAGGTCATCAGATGCACAGTTTACTTCCTGCTGTTCCTGATCCTTCTTTGCGCATGCGTGGCACAGCGAGTTGGTCTGATGGTCCTGCTCTCCAACATTCCAGCAGCTCCTTACACAGGCAGTGCAGGGAAGGCAAGGACTGAAATTTCACGGTTTAACAGCAATACCTGTACACATTTTATATGCTTCCGATTCAAAATATTGCAATAATGTTTTTTCAACATATAGAACGTCAACATCAGTGAATCGAAATATGTTAGCAAAGAATGCCTTTTGTGATTCCAGGACGAACACAGTATGGGATCGACCTACATTCAGATTGTCCACTACTTCCACCTCACCATAGCAGTGTGTGTTCCTTACATGCTTACCTCCCTTGTGTCATTCTTCAAATGGCAGATTGGAACATTCCCAACTCCAGGCGTCCTAACGTGGATCACGGTATGAACATAACCATTGAAAGTTAAAAAAATGAGAACATACCATTTTTTGTGTGGACAACAACTTCTTTTATTCTTTGTAATTCTTTTTTTCTTCTTGCTCCTTCATCAGGTGAATACTGAGTAAGCATCCATCCATCAAACCCACCCATCCATCCATCCATCAAACCCACCCACCCATCCATCCATCCATCCATCAAACCCACCCATCTATCCATCCATCCATCAAACCCACCCATCTATCCATCCATCCATCCAACATCCACGGGCTGAGTGTGATAACAAGGGACAGACCATGATAACGATATAACAATCAATTGTCAATTTATGGTTGACGATATGATAAAAGTGAGTGAGTGAGTATGGTTTTACGCCGCTTTTAGCAATAAGGCCGGGTGGGACAACTTGGGAATGGCCAGCGAGTCCTAACTTGGCACATAGAAGGAAGCGAGCTACAAAGACATATTTTATATCATTGGAAAGATCTCGAGGAGATGAACTCAGAAAGTTCATGTGCCAGTGCGCGCACGTGTTCATAAGCTCACAAATGGGCTCTGAAAATGCATTTCTGCAGAAATTACTGACAGAATTAATTTTTTCCGCAGAAATTTCTGGCAGATTTTTTTTTTACCGCAGAAATGTCTGGCAGAATTTTTTATTTCACTACCAGAATTATCTTAATTGAAAAATATTAGACACCATTTGAGGATAATTCAATATGGACTTTATTTAAATGATGTTACTTTCTCCTGTAAACAACTTCAAGTTGGAGGGGATAATGGTTCCCAGAAGTAGATCGCCGCACAAATCTTACAAGGCATATTTTAACATCTTATCAAGACGAAATGAAAATAAAAATAATATGGTGATTTTTTTTTTCATCTTTTATTCACGTTCTGTATAACATGAGTTTCACTGGACGAAGTTACAGTCATTTCATGTTAGACATGAGCCCTGTTGCCAAATGTTTCAGAGATAGATCCTCTCGGAGAAATATGTGTCCTATATATAGATATAAATATTTGTCAGGGTTGAGATTGCGATCTGATCGGAGATTCTACCAGTAGAGACTTCGCAGTCTTTACCAGTATCCTACTAGTAGAGATTGAAATCGGATCCTACCGGTCAGATCCGACTCTACCAGTACAATTTCCAATTCAACTGGTAGAAACCCTGATTGTTCTGTAGGCAAACAACACTTTATTTGCTGAACAATAATATTCATTTGTTATGCATGTTATTTTAATATGTGAAAAATGTAAAGAAATTCAAATAATTCCATATCAATGTATCTCACTTTAATACAAATTGCATTAATTGATAATGTCCTAATCATGACCATTTTGTAGATACAAACTATGGTTTCACATATGAAAAAATCATATGAAGGATCAGAATGGAGCTTCCACTGGTAGAGATTGCAATTGCATAGGTTATTCTATATAATAAGTTTCTACCAGTACAGACTCCGCATGCAATCTCTACCCTTGCATATATATCATCTCTCTATATATACATTGTATATAGTTAAGGTGAATGAATTCATGTATTCAAATCATTGAACGCTTATTATTAGCATATATTCTGAACAACATGAAAAACCCTCAGTCTTTTCCTATAAATATAAATGCATTCAATACGTTTGGACACATACTAGATACATAATAACAATATTTGATCATTTACATATTCCTAGAAATGCCTCCATCAACACGCTCAACATGACCAGCGTACCGAACTGAGATGATAAACAATACCTAAGCGACAATGTATCACTGTTCAAAGTGAC